GTTATGGGGCTGGGTTGGGTGGGTGGCAGCGGGTTGGGGGGTGTGGTGTGGGTTGGGTGGGTCGTCCTCCGTGGTGTCCAGAAAATTGAGATTATTAGGATTGGAAGATTGGGAAAATGGAAAGGAGGACTCATCAAACACGACATGTCGGGAAACAATGATTTTGTTAGTTTGGAGGTCAAGACAGCGATATCCGCGTTGATTAGAGGGATAGCCTAGGAAAATGCACCGAGCAGAGCGTGGGGCGAGTTTGTGTGGGGCGGTGGCAGTGGTGTTTGGATAGCAAAGGCACCCAAACACACGGAGGTGGGAGTAAGTGGGTGGAGTTTTTTAAAGAAGGGCGTGTGGGGTTTGGTTGTGAAGTGTGGTGGTTGGAAGAAGGTTGAAAAGGTGAGCAGCCATGTGTAGGGCCTTAACCCAATATTCAGGTGGTAGGTGGGCTTGAAAAAGAAGAGTGCGAACGGTATTGTTTATGGTGCGAATGGTGCGCTCTGCCCGGCCATTTTGCTGGCTGGTGTGGGGACACGAGAAACGGAATAAAATCCCTAAAGAGGCAAAAATATTTTGGAGTGGGGAGTTGCGATATTCTGTACCATTATCACATTGAACAGATTTAATAGTGGTGTTAAAATGGTTTTGAACATACTTAGTGAAAAAATTGAGATGATTAAAGGCATCAGATTTTTATTTTAGAGGAAAACCCATAGATAATGCGAGTAATCATCCAATAATAAGATGTAATGTTTAAAACCTGTAACACTAGGTATAGGAGATTGCCACAAATCTGTATGTAATAATTCAAATGGAAAAGTAGAGACACGACAAGACTGATAAAATGGGAGACGAACATGTTTTCCCAACTGGGGACGCCACGGAGAACGGCTAGACTTGGGTGACCCAGGCGCCGGTGCCATGTTTGGATGTCAACTGACACGCTGAGTGCTTGGGCTTGTGCGGTGGGGCGCAGGGGGTAGAGAGGGCCAGCATTATTGGATCGATGTATCACGGTTCCCGTCCGAAGATCCTTCATAGAAAAGCCATGAGCATCAAATTCAATAGAGCAGTTATTGTCACGGGTAAATTGTCGGACAGAAATAAGATTATGGATAATATGAGGGGATATGAGGACATTTTTAAGGGATAAAGGGGGGTTGGTGGGAAAAAATGGTTACCAACAGCCGTAGTGCTAACTTTAGATCCATAACCTACAGTGATATGAAGAGGTGAATTTAATGATTGAGAATAGACATGAGAAACAGTACCTGGGTCGGAGGCGATGTGGTGAGAGGCCCCGGTGTCCATTAGCCAAGTGGGTTCC